TGAGACCCTGAGAAGGGACACGACTTGCTCAAGTCCCCATAGCCTGTCCCTGGCCAAGCCTGCACCTGATCCCTCCCCAGCACAAGACTCTCAGTCCAGTGCTCTTTCCTGCCGATCAAAATGTTTCTGTTCAATGAACAATCCCCATCATATCTAGGCCCAGGAATAGGGAAGGACCAGGTCCTATCGCAGAAGGGTGATGGCAGGAGGTGCCATGGAGAGGAGCTTGAAGAAGTATAACCCAGCCCCACTATTGACGGGCTCAGCTTCAAACTTTGGACAACATTGCCAAATGCGATCAGACCCCAGAGAAACACACTGACGGAAGAGAAAAAAGCCAACTTGCATGAGCTTGGGAGTCAAATTGCCTGCCTCTGAAATCATTCCTACCTACCAACTCACCACAACCTGGGCAAGTTCATTTTATCAACCTCCTGGAGCCTCGGTTTCCTGATCTGTAAAATGGGAATAATAACCGGTAACTCATTAGGATCCGGTGAGTTAATTCTCATAAAGCCCTCAGAAAGGTGACTGGCCCTTAGCAAGCATTTAGTGAATGGTGGCTTAGAACGGCATCCAGCACATACATGGTGAGCAAATGTGGGAGATGACCATCATCATCACTATCATTATTTATGATTATTAATTCGCTTCTAACCTCTGTGGAGTTGACAAAGGGGCCCTTCCTTTTTCATTCCTCCATAAGTCACAACACTGTGAAGCCAAGCTTTCTGTTCTTTTACTTAAGGAGATCCCACAGACCCCATAGGAACAAGAAAGTCCCACAGCCAGCAGTGCAGCCTGGGAGGTCTGCTCATGTCCCCCATCGCTACCACTGAGGAGTGCCTGGGAAAAAAGTCATCCATGGGCCCAAGTTCTGTGTCATTGGCTAAACCCAGATAAGAAGACATTTACTCTTGGGGTGCCTGGGTGGCTCAGTCAGTTAAGTGTCTGGCTCTTGATTTCGGCTCAGGTCATGATCTCAGGGTCATGAGATTGAGCCCCACATTGGGCTCCATGCTGAGCATGGAGCCTGCTTAAGATTCTTTCTCTCACTCCTCCTCTGCTTCCAACCCCTCCACTCATGTGCTCTCAAAGAAGAAGAAGAAGAAGAAGAAGAAGAAGAAGAAGAAGAAGAAGAAGAAGAAGACATCCACGCTCAGATATCCCCAACATATACCTCCACACCTTCCTTCCAGCTACCCCAAGATGAACCCTGCACCTTATGCACTTGTCTTGAGTATACAGGGATTTCCAGCTCATAATGGGCTTCTGCCTCCACCCCACCCCCTCATTTGAGCTCCCAAAGAGCTCTAGGGAGAAGGCAGGATTTAATGCCCATTTGATAGATGAGGATAGTCAAACACTTCAGTGAAATGGCTTGTCCAAGGTCACCTGGTTGGAGAGTTTGCATCTGAATCCTGGCTAGGAGGCATTAAGCAAGTGACTTCACCTCTCTATCAGTTTTCCCACTACTAGATCAGGATATTGACACTTCCCTTGTGGGACCATTGAAAGGCCAAGAGAAGCTCTTGGAGGCATACAGGAGGCCCACAGTTAAAGGAATCCCATGATGTTGGGATGCTGCAGAGCTGGGGCTCAGTTCTGGAGTCTAGTCTCCTGGTCTCGATCTCCCAAAGCCACAGTTCTCCCATTCATGCCCACATCGACTTATATCTTGGCTTGGGACCAGCGTTCCCACAACCAGTTTCCTTATGTCTCTCTCTAGATGTTTAGGAAGTGCTTCAAAGGCTCCTGATTGGACTCTTCCCCCACATGCCACTCTAGAGGGGACTGGGGACAGAGATGGCTCAAATCACCCCACTGCAGAGGACAGAGTGCCCTTCAGCTGCCCCAGCACAGGGCAAATCACACAGGCCAGGAATCCTGTGAGGGAAGGGGCCCTGTCTGTCTAGCTCACCTATCCCCAGACTCCAGCATGCTCTTGCACATAGCAGGCTCTCTCCACCCATAAAAGTGACGCATAACTAGAATTCACAGGTGCCTGCTGAGCGCCAGGCACCAAATGACATGATGTGTAGACCTTATTCCAGTCTAACACACACATTTGTGATTTGTCTTCCCATTTCTTAAAGAAACAGGCTGAGAGAAAACTGGTAGGATCTGAGCCAGATGCCTGGCTGCAAAACCATGGTTTCTTGCCCTTGCCTGGTGACAGGAGGCATGGGTGACAAAATGATTTCTCCTTTTGAGGAGCTGTCTGGGGCACCACAGAGAAGTGGTCTGTGTCTTTTTGGTAAACGAGTGGTATTTTTAGAAGGTCCTCTTTGAATCCACCCTTCCCCCCTGGGCTACCACCTTCCACATCCAACTTGAGAAAAAGTTCCTAATCTCTTGGCCACCAAAAGTCCCTTTGGGGGGGTTCATTTCCCTTCCCACTTTGTACTACACCACAGGTTTTGAAAGACTGTAGGCACCAAGATGGTTCCTGGAATAAATTCATTTCTCTCTCCGCTGAGGGAAATCAAGTATTACCAAACTGTTCAAACTCTTCCTGAGGTAACCTGACAGCTGGTGTCTGCGGACATAACGGTCCTTCCCGACTGGGAGAGTCTGTTGTGTTGGGGGCTGTGCTGGGTACTCTAGATGCATAACCTTGTTTCCATTGTCACAGCAACTCTGGGAAATTGGTATTATTATATTCATTTTATGGATGAGGACAATGAGGCTAGGCTCAGTTTAACAGGTGCTTTCTTCCCAGAAAAAGGAGTATATCCTTGAGGGTCTCAAGCGGCACTGGGAGGGAGAAAGGGGCACCTTTGCTACCCCTGAACTCTTCAGCTCTGCTCTGCACTGTGATAAAAGAGCACAAAAAAATATTTCCCTGCATGTTGACTCTAATTCTCCTCCTGAGGAAGAAATGAAGATCTTTGAACTGTGTCCTAGAGAATGGTGTTGCGTTCCAGCTCTGCTTTTACTCTTGAGTACCCTCTGAGCCTTAGTTTCACCAAATAGGGTGGACCCAACTCAGCTGAGGTATTGTGGGATTCTAGGTTCCTCATTGCTTGTCAGCCTTGCACCTCTCCATTCCCCCAAGGGCCCTCCCAACACCGCCTTGCTCCCCACCCTCTTGACAAGCTGCTTCTGGGGGTCAGATGGTGGCAGGAAACCAGGAGCTCAGGGCTACCTTATCTTCCACAACCAGCCCCCAGTCAGTATCTCTGTGGGGCTAATCTATCAAACAAGTTTCCTCTTCTCTTGCATCTTTGTCCTCCAGATAAATTCTAAAAGACATACCGCTCTGGTTTTCATCCAAATCTGTAAAACAATGATTTACTGAGCATCTCCTACCAAAAAAAAAAAAAAAAAAAAAAGGCACTGGGCTCAGTTCTCCGGGGGCCCTAAAGAGGTTTAAAACACAGTCCCTGCCAAGAAGCTTGCAATGTAGACTCATAATATTTTAAGAGGGAGACAAATCGTGATGATAATAATACAGTGGTTAAGAGTGCGTGCTCTGGGTTCAAATCCCAGTTCTGCGCCAACTGCGTGACCTCACATAAGTTCCTCAGCCTCTCCCAGTTGTGAAACCTACCGTATTTGGTTGGCAGAGCATCTAACTCATTATGTTGCTGTGACTTGCCTAAAGTGACATTTCCAGAGGGGCGCCTGGGTGGCTCAGTTGGTTAAGCGTCTGCCTTGGGCTCAGGTCGTGATCCCAGGGTCCTGGGATCGAGCCCCGCATCGGGCTCCCTGCTTGGCGGAGAGCCTGCTTCTCCCTCTGCCTGCCACTCTGCCTATCTGTGCTGTCTATCTCTCTGTCAAACAAATAAATAATTAATCTTAAAAAAAAAAATAAAGTGACATTTCCAGAAAGTGCTACGATGATATAAGTTTCCAAATAAGAACAGCGAGGTGCCACTTCATACTGCACCACTGGTCGAAGTTAGAAAGCTAGGAAATGCCAAAGGTTGGAAGAAGTGGGCTGGTGCAGCCACCCCAGCGAACAACCCGGCACCTGTTCGAATACCAAAGGATGCAGAGATCTGACAACCTCACAATTCCAGGTTGGGTATGTACCTCCTAAAGAAACACTCCCACAGCTGCACAGGGACACCCATCAGATGACGCACTGGACTCTTTGTGGTGGCAGCAGGGGGATGCCATCCGGGTGTCCGTGGCTGAGAGTGGGGCAGTCGAAAGTAGCCACTGTGATCCATGGAGGAGGATGCCGTGTTAGAAGCGACAGACCAAATGCACACCCAGCCACATAGTGCAGAGTGAAAAGTCAGAAACAGAATGAGCCCTGAGAGCCCAAAGCTAGATGTGCAGAGTGACATCGAGGCACATGAAAACGCAGCAGAGAGGTTCCAAGAACACACGCAAACACAGGGACCCACCTTGGATGCATTAGAAGGCAAATCTCAGAGCACATGGCGCTGCTTAAAGGGGTCGGAGGGCCCACAACCTTCCCTCCCCAAAAGGCGCTGCAGAGTATGGTTAAAACACAACTCCAGAGGAGCGTTTAGACCTTGGCTTCCAGATACTCTGACTTGACAATTTTAACTGGTGTGATGTGTTACATGTAGCATCCTGCTACAACACGGACGAACCCCCTCAAGGGGCTGAGGTTGGGGTGCCCAGCCACCAGCTGCTGGAGGGCAAGGGGCTCACAGCTCACAGTTCTGGGCATAGCTCCAAGTCACACCCCTTCTCCAAGGGGACCCCATATCTGATGACTGGTCCCTGTGGAGTGCAAAGGTCCGGTCTGGTGCCTTAATTTGCAGTAACCCTAAAGGCTGTTCCAGCTTCAGCATGCTCTGTGGGACCTCCGGGTGGGGGTGGCTGAAACCCCTGTTGAGACTTATGGCTGGCAGCCCAATCCTCCCTCCGCCCAATCATGCCTCTTCCCTCTCCCTGCGGTGTCCCCCACCTCACCTCTCCCCAATAAATCTCCCACGTGCAAATCTTCAACTCCGAGTCTGCTTCCTAGGAACCTCACCAAAGACTAGCTCATTCTGTTTTTCCACCAGGGGGCCTGGCAACCACACAGAACCCCACAAAAGCCCCCCTCCCCAGAGACCACCTCTGAAGAGCTGGGGCAAACCACCTATCTAGTCTGGACGCCCACTGAGGACATTCACCTCATCACGACTTAGGATTCGAATGATATCACCTCAACTGGTGCGTGTGCCCACAGACGGCCAGTGACTGGGGGTGAGGGGCCCGGTGGACAGGATGAGAAGGCAGCAGACCAGCAGTAAGAGCTGCAGCTGGGGGAGGAGGTGGGCTCCGTGTTTGTCCAGAGCGCCCGTCCCCTTCCAGCCAGCCTGGCCTCTCCCACTCCAGGTGGCCCTCACTCTGCATGCCCCAACATTCCGAGCTCCAATCAGAGTGACCTGGAAAGGAGTCCAACAGGTTCCCCCCAACCCCTGCCCCCTCCCCGGAAGACAACCTGAGCCAGGTACTGGGATGGGGGGGGAATGAACACCCTGTGGCCAAGCCAGGCCCTCGGCTCCAGTCTTGACCCCCAGCTTGACCTAATGGGGTGCCTAAGCCAGCTCCAGGCCCTCTGCTGGGTGCTGGAGCCTCTGAGCCATGAATCATGGGCCAGCCCTGCCTGCTAGCGTCTGACGGCAGAGACGAGCCATTGGCAGGCTTGGCTGTGAATCAAAACTGCCTGAAAAGGGCGCTAAACACACAGCAGCCCGGGCCAACTCCCAGAGATTCTGTATTTTTAAACGAGCACCCCCTTGTGCCCCCTCACACACACACCTGCCTTGTAGGGAATTAAAATGGGTTTTATTTTCAAGGCAGCCTGACTTTCCGCTTGCCAAGAAAACACTGCCCGCCCCCCTCGCTGGGGTGACTTTTCTTGAACTCTGGGAGGTCTGCAATTCTCCTTCTCCCAAGTGACCCTTCCAGGCTCTCCATTTCTGCCACCTTTCCACTTCTCCCCAGCTGAAAATCCTAGAACCAGAGTGAACACCGTCCTCAATTCTTCTCCTTCTCCATCCAGGAGTCCCTGTCGACTGCCATGCCCTTGATGGAGGAGCCCCCAGCCCCACACTCTGGATTGTTCCAATTGCTACCGGGTCTTTTCCCCAAACCAGTCTCCCAAAGTTCAGGTGTTCATTAGCCCCCTTTACAATTTTTGGGTCAGATCTGCATACCACCTGTTCTATAATTTACCTTTGTATTTTCCTTGAATTGACTTTTTTTTTCTTAAAGATTTTATTTCTTTATTTGTCAGAGAGAGAGAGAGCACATGCAGGGGGAGCAGCAGAGGGAGAAACAGACTCCCAGCTGAGCAGGGAGCCCAACTTGGGGCTCGATCCCAGGACCCTGGATCATGACCCGAGCCGAAGGCAGACGCTTAAACAGCTGAGCCACCCAGGCATCCCTTGAATTAACTTTTTAAAGAAACAAATAAATTTATGTTAAAAGAAAACCTTCCAGAATTGAAAGCAGGCAGTCAAAAGCATACTGGTACATGGATGTTCATAGCACACTCTTTGTAACAGACAAAAGATGGAAACAACTCAAGTGTCCATCAACAGATGAATGGATAAACACAGCAGGGCCTATCCATACACTGGAATATTACTGAGCCATGATAAGGAAACACAGACGCCTGCTACAACACAGATGGGCCTTAAAAACATCATGCTCAATGAAAGAAGCCAGTCACAAAAAGACAAATACTATAGAATTCCACTTACATGAGGCAACTAGAGTGGTCAACTCCATAGACACAGAAAATCAAAGGGTGGCGGCCGGGGGAGGGGGCCCGAATGGGGAGTTCGCATGTCACGGGGCCAGAGTTTCAGTTTGGGGCGATGAAAAAGTTCTGGAGACAGATGGTGGGATGGTTGTATAACAGCAGGAATGTATTTATTACAGCTCAATCATATACTTAAAATGGGTACCTTGGTAAATTTTATATTATCATTAAAAAAAAAAAAAGGAAACTTTCTATCACTCCCTCCCATGGGGGGAAAAAACCCAGCATCACCCACCACTAAAAACAAAACAATGTTATTACAATCAGGTCAGCTGCCCTATTCTGCTAAAAAGAAACATCACTCAGTATGAGTGTTGCCAAAGATGTCTACACACAAAAATGGGGAAGGCGGCTCAAGAACGAATCAGAAAAGTAGGGATCTCCTACCCGGTATCAATGAACGCGTCTTTGAGAACCGTCTGTGGACCACCCATCAGGTACGTGTCAAAGTCTAGAAGCCTCCCTTCCGCCCACAACTTCCCCTCAGATCTTTCCATACAATCCCTCCAGGAGCTATAATGCTTACTCCTGGCCCAGGTGGATTCTTCGGTGATCCTTCCCAAGTGCTTCCAAGACAGTGCTCTTGTTTTAGTCATCTTACAGATGCACCTCGGAGAGGGAAGTCATTTATCCAGGGTGATGGATGGCAAATCTGAAAGCCAAGTCCAGAAGCTTCTCCCTCTTCCTCAGGCCACTTCTCTGATTGCTGGGGATTGACCCCAAGCCATGCTGTTGAGTCCTTTTGCTAATTTCCTAACTACTCTTCAGGAGGGACCAGGGGCTGAGGTCTCAAGAGGTCAAACCAGGTCCCTGCTGTCAGACAGGTTTTGCTGTATCAGTAAGACTCTGACTACCCAGGACCTACCCTGCATTTGTGGAGGCCCACGCCCCTGCCCAGGCACTGGACTGGGCTCTCCAGAGACTTGGATTCAAATCTTGACTCTACCAAAACCTCGACTATATGACCTTGGTTAAAAAACCTCCTGGGGAAGTCCCCAGAGATTTTGTAACACGGTGAGATAACAGGGTTTGGACCACATCAATGCCTCTCAATACAGGTATATAACCTCTGGGCCTCTGGCATGGGAATCACCCAGATAGGTGGTTTAGCCCGGGTGGGGCCTAGTGGCAGAACCCAGGAGCCTACACACTAAACAGGTGACTCCCTTGTGCAGGAAGCCTGGGACCCCCTGGTTCAGTTCTCTCTGAGGATCTTTCCATTGTACATCCTGGGATCTTGGAGACCAGGTCCTTACCTAAGGCTGTCTGGGGTTCGGAAGGTGAGGACTTTCTGGGGTCTCCCCCTTGTCCCCCCTCTGCTCCATCAGGTCCTAGAGCAAGAAGCACCAATTTCCTTAACCTTCTGAGTGGCTGGGAGTATTTCTTTTCTGGGTTGGTGGGGAGGGGAGCTTCATAGATGGAAGGCATCTTGCCAAAGTTAGGAACACCTGGCTGCGATAGCAAGTGGGGCGTGTGGACTGCTGGGCGTCTGTCTCTTATCCCTTGTCACCTTGATGGGGGGAGAGCGTGAGACTCAGAAGAGAACTGTGGGCTTTAAGGGTCCCAGACAGAGCTAGACACGGCAGTTCCAATTCTGGCATTCTGGGGCCCCAGAGAGACCTCCCCCCTCCAGCTGTTTCTGGGGCTCCTTGGTTTCTCTACTTGGAAGGCGGGGCTCAGGACCCCAAAGTGAGGTGGACATGTCAGCCCTGTCAAAACCCTCCCACAAAGCTGCCCCACCCCCCCACCCCAGATTATCAAAGAGAGGCTTGGAATTGTATAAAATTCCTGGACATAAGAGACTCCATTTTAAAGTTCCATTTTCCTTTCTAACGAACTCTTGAACTGGCAATTGTTTTTACAAGCAGTTGTTCATAAAAAGTCAACAGAACAACTGGCATTCAGACCGGATGGGGACAGGAGAGTTCATACCTCCAAGGAACTGTTTCATCCGATAGCACCAGCAAAATAGTAAGATAATCAACAGAAGTGGCTTAACGGCAGGCACCAAATTAGCAGGCTTGTTCTTATCTGCTCTTTTTTTATCTAAATCATGTAATCACCCCTCTCCTTCGTTCTCATAAAAACCCCCAGTTTTCCCCCACCTAAGTAAGACGCTTTTCTGTGCTCCCTGAATTGCAATTCTGAGACCCCCAAATCAAGGTCTTTTTTCTTTTTCAGTTTTGCCTCCCGGAGGAGAGAGGTGAGGATTTCTCCAGGGCGCCCACTAAAGGTCGTGCCCTCCACAAACCTTCCCGCAAGGCACCCCATCCAAGGGTTGGAAACCTGCACTCCTGAGTCAGAGCGGTGCTATGATCCAACTGGAAAACTGAGGCTCAGAAAAGGGCGGCCCGGGCCCAGGGTCCCCGTGGAGGGACCTGTGTGCCGCTCAGCGCGCGCGCGTCCCATTCACCTCTCCAGACTCCAGGGGGCGCGGAAGGTGTGTGCGCCCCGGGTTTGGCGCCGGCGCCGGAGCTAGGCTCCGCTCGGCGCGCTCCTCCTGCGCACCCAGGGTGTCTGCAGATGCCCGGCTCCCGCCCGCCTCCCCTTGCCCCGCGCTCTCTTTGGGCCCCGCGGCCGGGCACCCCGACCCAGCTCCGGTCCGCTCCCCGGTCCCTGCGCTCCAGACCGGGGATGCTGGAAATGCGGACTTTCGTGGGTCCGCACTCCGCACATTCCCTTCCTCCTCCCAGCCTTGCTGTGTGACCTCAGGAAAGTAGCAGCCAGCCTCTGAGCCTCGATTGCCGGGCCGACTTTCGGGGTGCAGGGGGAGAGCCCTGGTCACCTACCGCTGCTCCCCGACTCCCGCGTGCTGCCGGTGGCCTCTCCTTCCTGCCAGCTGTGGGGCTGCAGCGAGACTGGGGCGGGTTGACCACCCAGTGCCCCCACCTCATCCGCTAGGACCGTACTTTTCTCTTTCGCTTTCTCTCTGCGCTGGGATTTGGACCAAGCTGGAGAGTAAGCAGGCTTGCTGCACCCACCACGTGCTTTCTCGGAAGCGCCAGGCTCACATCCTTACACTCCTGGGCGCTCCTGGAGCGTCTATCAGCTCCTGGAAATGGCCAGCCTCCTCCCACCCCTTCGGGGGAGCCAGCACACACGTGGGCATGCCATCTGCAAACCCTGACTTGCAGGCAGCTCTCCCTTGCTTTGGGGTGGCCTCCATGTCTCTCCAGCTCAGCCCGGCCATGAAGGTGGCAAACGGTCCTTGCAGCGGACACAGACCCAGAGATTTGCTCCATGAGCCATTCACTCCTGGGAAGGCAAATGTCCTCCAGAGGCAAGAGAAAATGCCTCAGGGACCCTCAGGGGCTGGGAATTCCGCCTCATCCCTGATGCGGACACTCCTCCTGCCTTTCCTCCTCCAGAGGTCCTGGACCCCAGCTCCACCCACCATGAGAATTTGGGGAGGGCACTTCCCTTCCCAGGCTTGGAGTTCCTGTCTGGAATTGAAGGCGTGGGTCAAGGTGACTCCTGACCTCTTCTTCCCATCGAAACTCCCAACAGGCTCTATCCAACAGAGCTGGCAAACCTCAGCGGTGTCTGAGGAAAGGGGTCTCACCCCCCTGAAACCCCTCCAAAACACACAACACAGCGGCACCAGTAATAGCAGGCTTCCCTGATGATATTCCGTTCCTACGATGTTCCAGGCACTGTGCTGGACTTTGATCCCTCGTCATTACCCTGTCACAGAATTTTTAACAGCCCAGGCAAAGAGCGTCAGAGGTTGGTGACATGTTCTGTGTCACTTCACACCCAGCCAACAATGCAGCTGGGATTCAAACCTGCCGTGCTGATTGCAGAGCTGGTGCCGTCTGTCTCCTAGCCCCAACTTCTTCCCCAAAACACAATCTAGAAACTGGGGAGAGGGGAGCATTTGTCCAGCCGGTTGGGGCTCAACAGCTATGCCAAGGAGCTGACTGCCACTTTGATTTTCCTGCTTCTCCTGGGGATGGGGTGGGGTATGGCAGGGATCCTGTCCTTCAAGGGCACCCCTCAGTGTTTACCTGGTGGAGAGAGCACCTGTGGTTGGCCAAGCCGGGCTATCAATGCTGAGAGCTAACGACACACCTGCTGAAAGTTGGCCCTCTGGAATCCTTCAGCACTGATAAAGTCTCTCACGTGTCAGGCACCTGGACGGATCTGAATGTCCCTCAAGTGGAAGGAAATATTTAACCACCTCACTTTTCCCAACAGCCCCGACGGGACAAGGACCCCTCTCTCTGCTCCCACCCCCCGGTTCAGAGATGGTGGGGGCAGCTGAGACCTTACCCTAAATCAAGAAGCCTTGCCAGCCCCAACCTCCTTCACCCCCCTTTTTACCTTGGGACTCTGGCAGGTAGGACCCCGCAGGGCGTGGAGCTAGGCAACGCATGGTGTGGGAAACCCAGTGAGGCAGCGGCTTCTGGAGTCTGGCAGCCCCTCCTGGTGCCCTCAGCCTGCCCAACGATGTCTTTGAATGCCCAGCTCAGGAGCAGACAGCTTCATCTCCAGCTTAGTCACCTATACCAGTCAGGAGCCCACCAACACCAAGCCAGCATGCAAAGGAAGCAAGCAAGGGACCAACGGAAAACTTTCCCCCTATGAAGTGGCATCAAGCCGTCTGATCTCTCTGTCTAAAACTCTCTAATTTGCCCACACTCCCTTAAACCTTCCCCGTGCCTCTGTTGGTAATTTCAGTTCCTTGTTGTGGACCAAAGAGCGTGACCATAGAAGGTTGAGAGTTGTCCCTTGGAGGGAGACCTTTGACACAATGACATTCTGAAATTATGGCGACCACAGTGGAGCCCCAATCCCTGCTATCCTCTGCAGGATGGGGCCAGGATCAGAGCCCCACAAATGCCTCAAGACAAGCTGAGCCCCCCAGCTGGGGTCCATCAGGCTCCCCAGATTCCATTTCCTCCACCACCCCACCCCCACACCAAACTGCCCTGAATTGCCTTGGAGATCATGAGTGGTCCACTCATGATTTTTATTCCAAGACATTGGACCAAAACGTAAATTACACATAAGACAGTGTTACCCCAAATGTGGTCTACTTATAGCCAGATGGTTTAGGGCAACACATGGATGCAGCGCTAAATAGCACTGACCCCCAGGGAGAGAGTTAGTGCCCCTGCAAGTCTCTACCCACGCTCCTGATGGCATCTGGGAGAGAGTGTTTGTCAGGCTAAGAGGTCTTTAACAAACCTCTTCAAATGCAGGATACATCCCTGTTTCCCAGAAAGCATTCCCTAGTTGCAAGCCTTCAGTGAGACAATAGTTTCTGGCTGGATTTGTGAAACATTGCCCCCCCTTCCTGTTTCATAGTTCACTTCAATGGGTGGCATTCCTTTCACTTATGGCGAACATAAACTTTCCTTGGAAAATAAACTTGAATTTAAAAAAAAAATGCGGGGCGCCTGGATGGCTCAGTTGGTTAAGCAACTGCCTTCGGCTCAGGTCATGATCCTGGAGTCCCTGGATCGAGCCCCGCATCGGGCTCCCTGCTCGGCGGGGAGTCTGCTTCTCCCTCTGACCTTCCTCCCTCTCGTGTGCTCTCTCTTTCTCATTCTCTCTCTCTCTCTCAAATAAATAAATAAATAAAAATCTTTAAAAATAAAAATTTAAAAAAAATGCGAGCGCTTTGAAAAAACACCTGTCGGGCAAATAATTAGTATAGGATGGTGCGTAGAAATCGAGAGGGTGGTCCGGAAGTGAATGAAGTTTGGGAAGCAGTGACAAGTGCCTCCTTCCTGCACTTTTACTGAAAGAGCACTGGGTTAGGAGTCTGAAGATCTGGCGTCGAGCCCCTGGTGTTACTAGCAGGTGCGTGTCCTTGGACCCCTCACTTCCCTTGTGTGGGCCTCGGTTTCCCCCACATACGAAATAAAGATAATGATGTCTATCTTTGTAAGGTGGTTATTTTGAAACAGTCCCTGCTTTTAGAAGGCCCAGGGAGGAAGTAGGCAGACAAATGGGAAACGCTAGTAGTCAACTTGAAACACGGTCTTGCCTTGTTAGGCTAATAAGACAGACGTGACAAATATTAGAAATCTCAAGAAGTCTCATCTTCCCATGACCTGTGCCAAGGGAGAGGCACCCCTGCCCATTCACCTGTCTCGAGGTCACTTGTGAGAGTCCTTTCCAGTCCTTGGAGGCAGCCAGTTCTGACTGACGGCCATGGCTGAGGCAGTTCTGAATCCAGTTCATGGCAGGACAGGCCGATGAGAGTCAGTCTGACCGGGGTGCACCTGCCTGGATGCCATCACCTCTCACCGGGTCCGATCTCCTCTCTGCTACCTGGTCTTTCCACATCCTCACTGAACTGTCCCCCCCAGACCCATACTCAATCCCCAAACCTGACCATGCTTGTGTCAACACAGGGCTCTGAGCTGGGTGGTGACATGGACCAGGCTGCGTGTTTGGCTGATGCCGGAGGCTGTTAGATTAGCACGGGGAGGGCCCCAGGTAGAGACACGGGAGAGGAGACATTGTGGTGCCCAGCCAGAAGCTGATGGGGTCTGACTTTCGGCAGGTGCAGTGGAAACAGAGATGAGGAGTGGGCAGCCTGGCGTTGTAGCAGAGCTAGAATACCAAGCCTCCTGCGTGGGGAGGGCAAGGAGCAGGGCAGAGGGTAAGCCAAGCCCAAAATTTCTCCCTATTAAAGCATCCTGCATTCCTCCTGCCGATGCCCTTCTTCGAAACTCCCTCAGAGATGGTGACCATTCTCTGAGCCCAGGGCTGCTTTGAACAAAATCAATTTCCTCCCTACTGGGGAGCCCTCTCAGCGCTGTTCAAGCCATCTTGCCCTGGGCATGCAAATGTCTTTGCCTCCAGTCGGGATCCAGCAGGACAAAGACCACTGGCTACCAGCAGAAGCATTGTGAAAATTGCCCGCTGGGTTCCCTGCCAAGCCCCAAGGGGAGGACATGGGGGAAACAACTTCTGAGTAAGCTTGTCATCCCCTGCTGTAGTCTCCCCAAACAGACCTGCTTGCCCTACGTGGGTACCTCTGCTCATGCAGGGCTGAGCTCCTGTCTTTATTTTAGCCATCCTTCAAGGCCTGAGTTCTTGCTTTCAGCACCCTTCCAGGTAACATCAATCTTATGCTTTACTCATTTTTAGAAAACTTGTTGCCATGTATTTGGCAATGCATCGGTGAACTTCCCATTTCATTAAGTAGAGACTCTGTTACTTCTGATTAGATCATGAGGTTGCTACTGTCTGGGACCCACAGTTTTATTTTCTTATTTAAAATTCACACTACTCCAAGATTGCTTGAGTGAAGGAACGGAGTTTGGATTGGTATGATCAAGGCAGTCTCAAGTGCCCAGTGGTGAAGGGTCCCCTCTCCCTAGGTTGTAAGTGCCCTTTCTTATGCTTTTTGGTGACCACCATAATCCCTAGCAGGTGCTAAGACAATGATTAAGGAGGAGGGAAGACGTGTAAGGAAGGAAGGGGAAGAGGTGAGCAGAGAAGTAGGTGAATAGATACGATAAAACTGGCATGTATCCAAATTAGGCAGGTAGGAATGTGCGTGAGAATGCAAGCCTATTAGTCGGTAAATACACAAGCAGATGAGTTGGTAGGAAGGCAGGTAGATAAGTTGATACATAAAACTATAAATGGTTAGATAAATAGATTGATAAGTATGTATAAGTGGATAACAGATATAAGTTGATGGATTGATAAGTAGACACTGGTAGGTGGTTATGTAGACCAGGTAAGTTTGAGGGCAGGCAGGGAGGTGGCTGGGCAGGTGGCTAGAGAGATGAACAGGTACCAAGGAAGGACACAGGTGGACTGCTTCAGGTAACGACAACAGAGAACAGAAACCGGCC